TTGCGTTTATGAACGCGCTCCAGTACAATATATTAATGGCGACTTACAAACACAGCAAACTCCAAATCCACGGGCGCAGCCCCCCAGGGCGGTACCAGACATTCGGGTGCACTCCGAAGCAGTCAGACAGGTGCCTTGCCAGGCTCCAGCCCAGTTGGTCGTATTGCATTGGCTGTTGTTGAACTTGACCACCGTGAAGATGCCGAAGAATTGCTTCAGCTTCGCCAGGGTTTTGTTCTTCAGCGTCCCCAACGTGTCGCCGTAGAGAAATTTGAGTTCCTGCTCCTGCTTGGACGTTTTGGGGCTAAACAATTAGGCCAAAGTTAGTTTTCTTTGCAGGTCTAGAGCGGGTACTCACGCACTTCTGGCTTGATTGGAGCTCCACCTTGCCTTTGATCGGTCGCCTGCCATACTGTTCGACCAATAGCTTGGCCAGGAACTTCTTCATCAGGCCGTTCATTGGCGCGTTGGTGCTTGGCTCTGTGACAGGACTGATGGTCAGTTCCACTTCTTCGTAACGGTTCGAGTTTGCTGCATCCAGACCATGAGGGGGCGTGGTGGACGAGAACCTTTTTGTACCGGAATTACAGACTAAACCCGGAACAGTTCATCCCACTCACCTTCTCTTCGGAGGGTCGATTTTCTGGACATAATAATGCGATCCGGACATAGTGGGGGGTTCTGGCCAGCCAATGGCGGCTGCCTTGGACGGGCGGTGTTGCCCTCTGGTCCAGAACTCCGGTCTGCTCTTTCGCCCCCCTTCGGACGCAATATGGAAGCTGCCGAAGTTCTCCTGGTCTGGAACCACTTCCGGTGTTTCCAGGTCGATTGACGACGCCGGATATACGTAATTGTCTGCAACACTTGGATAGAAGCTCGTTTCGTCCGCCAAACCGTCTTCCAGCTCCCTTCTGCTGGAATTGAGCTGCTGATTCTGAAATGAGCAAATTGAGCGACCGCCAACAATGGAAACCTTCGTAACTCACCTTCAAACTGCGTCCCAACTGGCCGACATTTTCCATGAAATGGAAGCTGATAATATCGGCATTATCCATTGCCAAGCCACTTGCAAGGAGACAACCCGAAATCGTGAGCCCAACAACGAAGAGCTCCATTGTTTCTTCTCATCTGATTGAACCAACCTGATGCTGATCCCAAAACTGAATAAGCTTCGGGTGTCGTCAAAGCAGAATGTCTTTTACCACCGCGACGCTATTGAGATGTTCTTCATCTAAGGCGTCGAAGAATGAAGATGCGAAGCGACGTTTCCATCGGTGGCAAAACTCACCGTTTGCCGCTTATTACATGGTTTACTAGAGCAAGGAATATCTTCCATTATGCTCTGAATGTGTGCAGAACTGTTCGATGTTAAGGTCAATCAAGAAACAATGGCTGTAATTTGTTAATGGCGCCGTGGAAATTGAATTATAAATGCTTTCTAAGTGACTGTAAGCGAAAATGATGATTTATGGAATGTTTTTAGTCCAGTGGGTTTAACTGGGGGTGCGATTTTAGAGCGTTTAATCCGTATGGAAGACGGTGTTTCCAGAAGATTCCAGATG